TAAATACGTTGGAAGTTATAAGAAAAAGAAATACTGCCACTAATATATCTAAAGACTGTAAGAGGAGTATGACTTCTAATAAATGATGCCGTTGAGCAAAGAAGGTCAACTTCAGAGAGAGAAAGAGGTTTTTGAAGCTCTTGAAGAATGTCTTCAGTTGAATCTCCTAGCATCTTCTCTTTTAACAAAAAGAGAGCGACAAGTATAAAAACAAAGAAACATGGATCTTCTGATAACAACAAGTAATCCCACAATTTCCAAAGAGCATCTAAGTCATTAAACAAAGAAATAAACAAATTATAAATAAATGGAGATGTTAGGTTAGATAAATTAATTCTTTTTGACTCTAATTTTATTGCAAATGAAGGACAATGAAATAGTAGTAATTGAAGGAAAATAGTGTTTAAAGCATTTTGTATTGATGGGTAATGAGTTAAGACATATCTATGAAATTTTTCAAAAAAGGCTATTGATAAGTTTGCTAATTGAATTTGTTCTTGAGAATTTTCTGTTGCTGACTCAAAAGAATTAAGAGAGTAAAGTGTTGATATAACCCTATACAAATTTTCTAAATTTTTTGGAGTAGGAGCAATGGTATATCGTGTGATAATTGTATCAACAATAGGCCAAATCAATTCTCCTTTAACTTGGACAAGAGTTTTAATTTCTTCTACATGATGTTCAGAATTTTTTATTTCTTTGACTTGTTGTTTTGGTTGAAGAAACAATTTATAAATAGAACTTCTTAGAGAAGATGGAATTTGATTTCTACAAAGAATTCTAATATCGTTGAGAGAATTTAATTGAATATATTTACTTATTAATTTGATGTTAGCTTCTTCCATTATTCTATTTTTTATTTTTTAGTTTTATTATTTAAAAGTTCTTTTATTAGTTTTATTTTAATAAAGATAGAGAATTATGATTTACTATGTTTGAATCTATTAGTATTGTTCCTTTAAAACAATAATGTTTAACTTCAAATAACTACTAACTTTCTTAATTTTGTTAGTATTGAAAATTATGTTGATACCTATCAATTAATTCACACAAACAATACTAAATAAAGAAGATAATTAAAACCCAATTTAAGTGAATTACTCATTCTATTAAATACCATTTCTTTAAAAACATATACCTAGAACTTAGAACTTTGTTTGGTTAGATTAATTATAAAAGTAAGAGTCTATGAAAAAATATAATTTTTGTTCTCTCATATTTAATTTTGTTTTTATTGTAGAATCAAAAATGAAAAGAACGTATTTTTGTAAAAGATATTCAGTTTAAATATCTCAAACCATTTTTACTCTTCTCAGTGTATTTGTTAAGAAACATAACTAATAAAATAACCGAATCATGACAACTTCCAATTGAAACTATTTAATTTTAAAAAAAAAGATATATAAATTAGATAACTGTATGTTAGCTCTTTTAGAAATAATTAACAATTGCTTCTAATAGAAAGATTGGTCAAGTACTTAAAATCATCACTCAAATACTTAAAAAGAATTTCAATGTCTGAAAAAACATAGTAATAACAAGTAAAACATCAAAAAAAAAATTTTTTTTTAACTATTATTTATATCTAAAAATTAATAATTAAGAATGCTCACAATTAAATTAAGGGATAATACGGGGGACTGCTATACGTCAGTGTATCCTGAAACACTAATTAGGGAACTAAAACAAAAGTCATATCCGTTACAGTGGTCTCGAGGAGATGATATTATTGTTTGTTTTTTAAATATTACTTAGATATAAATTTATTTTAATTTAGTTTTTATTTATGGGGAATGAACTTGGTGATGACTTAACGGTCGAACAGTGTAGAATTACTGAAGGGTCATGTATTATTGTGAGTTTTATTAAAAACACAGATGGTCATAATCAACAAAGACCAGCACCAAGAACATTTAATTATCAATACCAAAGGGCAGAGCATATACAAAGAGATTCAGAAGAATGTATTGAATTAATGATGGAATGTATTACACCATCTACATTATTTATGTTTTTTGGATTAATTCTCATTGGATTAATTTTAGGTAGGTTATTCTTCCCATTACTATTTACTAAAGGGTCTGACTTTGTCATTACATTGTTGTTGATCATTTATGTCATTTCATTATTCAAATTCTTTATTATAAGAAGATAATAAATTAATTGAATAATTATAATATATGTTAAAGGTTACCAAATGGAATTTGCCCAAATTGAGAAAGTAAA